GGGTCAAGAATGCACAAGCAACTTTTACCCTAAACGGTAGTGAATAAGGGATAACAACACACAAGAAGGATTTTGGAATTGTTATAGACAACTAATTAGGTAGCTATATGCAATGTCAAGCGGCAGTTGCCAAGGCCAGTAAGGTTTTTTCATGTATAAATAGGGGCATACCGTGGGATGAAAATGTAATTTTGCCTCTTTATAAATCGATGGCAAAACCACACCTTGAATATGCTGTTCAATTTTGGGCACCTGTTCTAAAGAAGGATATTATGGCACTAGAAAAAGTGGAGAGACGGGTTACAAAATTGATTAAAGGATTTTAGTTATGAAGAAAGGTTGAAACATTTAAATCTCTTTAGTTTGGAAAAACAGTGCCTCAAAGGGGATATGATAACAGTATAAAAATATATTCGACAGGAGGTCGTGCATTTAGACTGTAAGAAAGGAGATTTAGTCTAAAACAAACAAAAGGTTTTTTTGTGGAATTCTCTGCCTGAAGGCGTAATTTTATCCGAGTCCATACAGATGAATACTTGCAAACACATAATATACAGGGATATAATTCTTATTAGTGAGGTAAATGCGTCTTTATCCAAGGAGTTATCTGACTGCTATTTTGGGGTCAAGAAGGAATTTATTCCTAGTTTGTTGCAAAATTGGAAGCGCTTCAGACTAGTTTTTTTGCCTTCTTTTGGATCAACAGCAAAAACATTTGTGAGAAAGGCTGAACTTGATGGACGCAAATCTCTTTTCAGCTATGTAACTATGTAACTATGTAATAGGTGTTATAAGTATTAGTATATTAATTATGTTTCAACTAACATTATAATCAAGACTCATATGGACTCTTTTTCCCTTATTTATTTATTACTGTCAGGGTACCTGTAAATTATGCCTCTGAGGAGGTCAGTCTCTCTTCATAGGGGCTTCCCCCCCCAAGCATTTCAGCATTTTCCGGCTGTTTTCGCGCGGTCGCGAAGCACTGGGAACCGCAATCCCGGACCTTTTGGGGGCGTGGTCTCAATTAAGGTGACAGGGTATTTAAGGGAAACTTTTACTACTGCTCATTGCCCTGTCGTGGTTCTAGCTTGCTAGTCACTCAGCGCGTTCTCTCTCTTTGTGTTTTCGGTTTTGACCTTGCTTGTACCTTGTCCTGCTGTTCTCTCCTCTCCTTTGACTCGGCTTGTTCCTCGCTTACCTGTCCTCCGGCTCCCTCGACCTCGGCTTACTTTTTGACCATTCTTGTTTTGTCTATACGTTAGTCCGGCCATTCTAAGGTCCGGTATACGTACCTCCTTCTGTCCGCACTCTGCGTATTGGATCCCTGTCACGATCCTGACAATTACATACTATTGGATATAATAGATGGATAATAGTACCTAATTTGTATGAGCAAATATTATGCAGAGGTGTCAGGATCCCCAAACTAGCTAAAAAACTGTTTTGGAAATTATTTATTTAAAGGTTTTACAGGTAGCAGAATTGAATTTAGAGATTCATATCACACCACAGATGTAGGAGAGGGTGGGAAAACAAAATATTTTTAGAAACTTTTAAACCTGGCGCATAATTTTACTAACACAGACAGAATTAGCAATGCATAGAAAATAAATTATTATTATAAAAATCACACACAAAGAAACTATGGAACAAAAGTTCTGATCTATGATTTTCTGCTAAAAGGGAGGATCGTTTGTAGCTTTAATTCTTTTCCTACTACATATTGTATGATAAAAACACTATAAATGCAAATTAGGTCTAACAGTATAAAGCAGTTTACAACAGTTGCCAGGAATAATGACCACAATGGACTAGATAGCAGTGTGCAAATTTCTTATTGGTACAGATGAAGCTTATTATTCACTAAACTAGGAATTGTGCATACCTGACAATGCAAATGCTAATTGTAAACCAAAATAACCAAGTTGTAAAATAGTTAAGCCTGAGAGTTGTTTTTCCAGCTGATTATTTTGGCTTAAAATTCTGGTTATTCTTGTAAATACTTCACAACGGTCAGTACAGAGAATAACCCAGGGAAGAGATCTCAACTTTTGGCCTGGAGGACAAATACCAGTGTGAAATTCACAGATCTTTGAGTAGATGGCCTAGAAATGTGGCACATGCAATATATGGGTTTTGACAGGTGGAGGCTGTTGTGATATCAAGGTGTGATGGGAAATATCTCTGCATCCTTCTTCAGTTTGATCGGCATAGCATGGAGGAACATTCATACATATCTGTTCTTCCCTATGTGACAAAGACTCATGTGTAATAGGTAGTTTGAATACCGTTCCATCTCAACATTAGGCTACTTGAAAACACCTTTTGGAACACCAACTAGCAGCCTGGTTTGCCAGTGAAGTCTCCAATGATATATACCAGAGGACTAGTTGAGACCTGGAGAGCATTGAAATAGTGGGCCACTAATCAAAACACAAGGCCACACAGTGTTGAGCTAGTGAAGGTTTCTAGCAGTGATTTGACAACAAATACCCACAGCTTATAATTAGTTTGGAAAAATGCAGCTTTCAGACTGCATTCCCCAACAACTGAATGCTAGTGGCCTATACCTCTGGATAAGCTCCTCCCCCATCCTAAACTATCCATACATTTTTTTATCCCCTATTTTAATGTACAACTACAACTATATACTCCTATATGTCTACTGTAACCCGTTAAGTTGTAAGTAATCTTTTTAATACCAAATACATCTTGAGCATCCATCTCTCTTTTTGGGTAGGTTCCCTTTCTGTTTATGTTTAGCCTACTGAGATGAAAAGATAATTCTGTCATGACTTACCTCCACTGCTTCTGCTCCCTCACTGCTCCGACGGAGGTACAAGGGTCGAGGTCGCCAGCGTGCATGTTCGAATGCAGGAGGCGGGTCGCGACCCATGATCTCCAATTGCATCATATTTCCCAGGCAATGATAAATGCCTGGGAGGCATGCACAATAGTTCCACGCCACAAGATAGGGCAGCTGGATCAAATTAAAGCAACACTCACCTCCATGAAAACCCCAGCTGATTGACAGCCCCATACACCTATAGCGTGCTATGGAGGCTTGTTAAGCAGTTGTGCCTGTTGTATGGCACCTTATTTAAACCTGGAACAGCTGAACTTTCATTGCTCAGTTGTTCTGTGCTACCTCTCTGATATTACCTGCATTCCTGATCTCCTGACCTTGGACTGCCTTATCATTGTTGAACCTCTGCTGCCTGGATTTTGACCCTTGGATTGTCTGACCTTGCTTCTGCCTTGCCCCTATTGGACTTTGCTTTATTATTTTTTCTGCAAGTACAAGTACTGCATTCTGAGTTTCATATATACCTGACAAAACAACTGAGCCTACATGAAACAATCATGCATGTGTCCCAGACGTCTATCATTGCCTGGGAGACGTGAAGCAATTGGAGTTCAAGGGTCGCGGTCCATCTCCTGCATTCTCGCATGCGCGTGGGCTGCCGCGACCCGTGTACTTCCATCAGAGCAGCGAGGGAGTGGAGGTCAGTCATGACAACTTCACAGTTAGACCTTATAAACACTGTAGGCCAAGACTGCTACCAGTGGAATGAATAGATCATTTACAATGGGACCCTATTTACCTTAAAAGCCAAGATTGCAACCAGTGATCCCTTGCTCGGAATGTACCCAAAAATATTTGCTTCATCAAATCTGTTGTACAGTTAAAACATATCGGAGAGCAATCACATCACAAGGCAAGAATATCTTATACATAATGTGTCACATGTACATCTAATTTACGGAACACAACTGTGCAAATTTAACAAACGTTATCTTATCCAAACATTTTGCAAAAGTCTTATATAATAGAGATATACCCCTGCTATGAAAAGCTGTAGACGTTGATCCCATATTGCTATACCAAAGCATTAAACACATTGTCTTTATGTATCTATATATGTTCCTCAATTCACAACTGGCTAGTTTATTATGACCTTCAGTAAGCCGTAAAGGAACTGTTGTAACTTGTCTTTCAAGTGCATAGTTGAATGTGAAGTAAATTCGATGAAACAGATGCAAAGGAGATAGTACAACACCCTCAAGACTACTGATTCACATGGTTGGTTGACAATATGACTTGCGTTCTAAATGTGCTCGCACTGAGCCGTTTTCACAGTCTCTGAAGCATGTTCACAGCTAGTGGGCTTTATTAGTGTGCAGAATTAAATTCTCCTGAAGCATCAGCAGATGTCTAGTTCAGTAATGTGTGATCGGTATTTGACCTTCTGCCCCAACTGCTGAATCTGATTAAGTGACTATGGATTGGCAAAATGACGGTTTGCAAATACTATATATGACAGTGTCATGCATTTGATCAAGTCAAGTGTGAATCATTAGAGATTTATTTTGAGTCATTTTTATAAATAAGTCATTTAGGTGGATTTGTTTTTAACTAGTATTGCAAATAATATTTATTACTAAGCAGCGTTCTATTAGTTCAGCAGTAAATTAAAAATCTTAATTTGGAACAAAATTGGACACAGCTTCACTTAGCAGAATACACAGTATGTTTGCCCTTCAGAATACATCAGAAAATTACCCTCTTAATAAAATTAAAAAAATAACCAATTTCAGGCTCTCTTTCCATCATTAGATTTGATGGACCATACCGTGCAGCAATTAACCTGTAACCCAGAGACAATGCTATTTTACTATGTATAATTTGTAGTCTTAGCGTCAGAAGCCTTTTTAACCCTTAAGTAAAAAAATGTGTACATTGAATGGCTGTCAGTTGCCTAGCTTTCCGGTCTCTGTATGTATGGCAACAAGCAAATCTCTCACAGTTCTTTTCATGTAGTAATTAAGCAAACCAGCTGGGAAAAGAGTAAACGAACATACACAATTTAAATCATTATTTATGATGTATTTTTATACAAATTAATTGGCATTTGACTGATTAACAATTTCTAAGAAAGAAGTAATAAAAAGTTCAAATATGTAAAGACGGGGGCGGGGCGGGGCCACCGGGCCGCATGGCAGCAGACCGACATAGCTCCAAGCTCGAGCCCCAAAAACCGGCACTAAAACTGCACGGCTCCAAAGCCGGAGATATCTACACATCAAGACAGAGAATCGTTCCAGCTTCATTTCAATACCACACAAGAGGCCAACAATGCACCGGGAGCACCGAAACCGAAACACCCGGCCTTCCTGCCTCCATAAATCAGCGGCATGTGAGCAAGACGTGGCAGCCGACAAACACCCAGAAATCACAAGACAGAGACGCTTACGCTCATGAAGAGTGAGCCGGCCCGGGGCATGGCCCCGCTTCCCCCCCTTGCTGGTGGGGGTTATCCCGGCCACGTGGGGACTGCACACGCCGGGGCAGAAGCCTCCGACCCCAGCCCATGCCGATCCCCAGAACTGGCAGAGGCTGCCAAGATGAGACCCGCCAGAAGAATGGAGCGGAGGGCGGATAGCCCGTGCACAAAGGCACCCGTATGAAGACCCTGGTTTGCCGAGAATGTGGATCCATGTTTGTAAGTGTGCGTATCTGTGTTTGTGCACTTGTAAATGTCCATTTAAAGCATAAATAAATCATATATCTAAAGCTCATAAAATAAAACTCACAATAATATCATGTAATGTGTGTATGTGTGCATTGTCTGTGTGTGATAGGTGTGATGGCTGTGTGTGATATGGATGCTATGTTTGTAATATTTGTAATATTTGTGTGTATTAACTGTGTCTGATATTTGTGATATGTAATTAATTCAGATTTTACTATATGCATGTAGGCCCAGCTGTGTATTTTTGCAGTGTCACAGGTACATAGTCACACACACAGTCGCAGGCAGACTGCCACACACCCATAGTCAAATTTTAATAAATGCATGTAGGCCCAGGTGTGTATTTTTGCAGTGTCACGTGCACATAGGCCCACAGTCAGACACACAGTCTGTCAAATGCAGCCACATGCATACACTGTGAAATGCAGCCACATGCACACAACCCCAGGCACATAGACACTGGCAGACAGTCACATAGAGTTGCAGTCAGTCATACACACAGTAACACACACAGTTAGAGGCAGTCAGTCATACACATATAGTCACACACAGGTAAAGACAGTCTTACACAGACCCAGACAGAGAGCCATTCACACAGTCACAGGCAGAATGCCACACACAGTGATAGGCAGACTGGCACACACACGCACACAAACACACACACATAGTCACAGGTAAGCAGTCATGCACACACACACAGTCTCACATCCACACAGTTACAGGCAGGCAGTCATACAGTTGCAGGCAGTCAGTCACACATACACACACACAGTCACAGGCAGACAGCCACACACACACAGACATACACACACAGCCAGACAGTAACACAGTTACAGTCAGACAGTCGCACACAGTTACAAACAGTCACGCAAAGTCACAGGCAGATTGCCACACACACACAGGTAAAAACACACAGTTACAGGTAGACATCCATACACAGGCAGACAGCCACACACAGTCACATGCAGACATTCACATAGTCACACACACACACACACACACAGTCAGACAGTCATAGACAGTAGCACACAGTTACAGACAGTCACACACTGTTACAGACAGTCACACACAGTCACAGGCAGACAGTCACATGCATAGTTACAGATAGTCACACGCACACAGTTACAGGCAGAGAGTCACACACACAATTACAGGCCAGAAAGCCACACACACAGTTATACACAGTTACACACAGTTACATCTTTCCATTATGTGCACTGGGAGTGGGAGTGGAGGCACTGCAGTCCCTCGTGTCTAGTTTGGGAAGCAGGGACTACTTACTGCTTCACCCTCAGTATACATAAACAAAATAAGATATACCTAAGGTACAAAATACAGAGAACAAATCATCCTGTAATACAGTATAAAACCTCTTAAAATCTCTAAATTTCAAGGTCTCACTCACAAGATTTGTGCAGTTTCAGGCCCATCAATATGATATGGATTCCAGATTTTCAGCATTGTCAAATGTTCAAAGACCCATGTAGAAAGAAAATTAAAACAGACATGTAATACAGTGTTATAAAGTATCAAAACGCTTTAATGTTTTGCACTTACAAATAAAAACAAACAAAAAGCCCATCAATAAAATCCTGCAGTCCCCAGTCCTGATCCTTGCAGTAGAAATGGTGGACGAAGTAAAGGAGTACTCACAGGTATAATAAATTAATGTGTCAAAGCAATATATAGTGAAATAAATAATAATTATAATAATCATGTGGCAGAAAAGCCACACACGCGTTTACACACAGTTATCTCTCTATTGTGCACTCGGGGTGAGAGTGGAAACACTCCAGTCTCTGGTGTCTAGTTGTCTGGGAAGAAGGGAGTCCTTCCTGCTTCCCCCTCAGTGTACAGCAGTAACCAGACAGAAAATTCAGGTCACATTTAGCTCAACCCCTATAGCTCTGCCCCACAGCCCATTATTTTGCTCTGTCAGGCTTGTGAACAGTTTTTGAAGCTCTGCCACTGCATGGCCTACAACTAGTGAGTATCCTCCTTTTTGCACAGCATTACCAATGAAATGCTTTGTGGGCATCCCCAGCTACAACTACACAGTCGGCTACTTGGTGCCCTATGTGGCAACACATCTAACACATCTCTAAGACCAGCCCTGTTTGCATTTACCCATGAGACAGGATGTTAGAAATTTGAAAAGGGAAATTTAGAAAGGGACAAACTGATCGGAGGAGGTAATGTTCTGCATGACATAGATGGCAGATACCCAAAATGAGAGGAAGGGGTGCCAGTGGAACATGCTTAAGGGCTGGGGGAGCATGTACCTATACTCCTTTACAAAACCATTGAAGGCAGTTATATAAAGCTTTAGAAATTGCCCACTCTAGTTCTATGAGGTGTGTACGCTTAACCATGACCCTACACAGCTCCATGCCAGAGGAACTTGGGTTCTATGAAAATAAGAGCACATCTTAAGGAAAGAAAAATGTATATACATTTAGGTTTAAATTTTCAATATACAGATTACTTCGCATGTCTGTTAGTTAAACTTCAACGTCTCACTGATGTTACAGCCTAAAAAGGAACAACCAATTTTTGTTTTACAAAACCATCCAAAAAGCAAAGCAGGAGGTCAAAGTCTTTGCACAATAAACTTAACCTGTTCAGCAATAGATACTGTCTGTTCAAAAAATATGCTCTGTTGACTAATGCTTTAGATCAATTAATGAAATCAGCTACTGAATTCAATAAAAATGTAATTATCATTTCAATTACCAAACCTGATGAATGAAAGAAATAACTAGATTAATTTCCGTAGCAACATATTAATGCAGTCTTCTTGAAGTCTGCCTATTAACAGACCAACAATGTATTGTGTTATTACTTTAGGAATATATAAACTATCAATATATTGCACCAGTCTATACAATTAGTATGTCATAAATATCAAAATATCCCTGGTATGGGGGGCGTGGCCAGCTGACTAACAAGGAGGACGCGTTCCCGTGCAGCTCCGCTATAGAGATGCGAAAACAGAGACTAAAAACCCGTAAATGGGACCCTCCAAAAGCAACATACCAACCCCCGCTTAAAAAGCCCGATATTCGGCTCTCCTTCACAAGGCCTAACCTGGAGGCACTGGCCAAAATGGTGCCCGATACACCCAGCAAAGAGGTAGCCTCGGATGGCTCCCAGGAGGGCAGAGACAGCTCCACCTCATCTTGGGCAGACGGAGCCCAGTGTCAGGCATCCGAATCAGAGGAAGACTCATCCCCAGTAACTAAGAGGGATATCAGAGACCTCCTAGAGGAAATGAGGGGAGTGTGGAGGGCAGACTTGCAGACCACAAGGAAGAAGGTGGGGGTCATCCAAAAGAGGCTCACCGAAGTTGAAGCCAGAGAAAGCACCAGAGACGCCCAGCAACAGATCTCCAGAGACGCTGTGCAGGACCTCCGCTCAAAGGTCCAGCAGCTCAAGAGGACGGTCACAACGCTGGAAGTCCGCCACAGAAGGCAAAACATCCGCATACGAAGCCTTGATGAGGTACATATCCCGCCTCATCACTAGAATGGAAATCAGATGGCACACCAAGCCAGACAAAATAGCAGCCGCGTTCAGAATCCGCAAAGCTGCCACAGCATCAGCGGAAGCACCAAGAGACGTCATAGCGTTCACGAAAGCTATACAAACCCGCTCAGCAATCATGACTCGCTCCCGAGAAATAGGAAGCGTACAACTAGAGGGTAATACAGTGTCCCTTTATGGAGACCTCCTGTTCGCAGCCCTGATGGAGCGGAGACAACTAACACCAGTGGCCAAAAAATTGAGAGTGGAGGCAATTAAATACCGGTGGGGGGCAAATGGATCCCTAACAGCAACAAAGGGAGATCAGGCATTCACCCTCACCTCCACGGACAACCAGGCGCAATTTATCCACCCGCTGAGACAGCAAGAGGCAGAAAAAAATGAACCCAGGGAAGCCGATGCCCGGAAGCAAAGATACCCACAGAGCACACCAGGGCCCACAAAAAGCCACCACACATCAAGAGAGAGAAAACCCCTCACCTGAGCAGTTTATCTCAGCACCCACCCAGAGGACCACCAAGGTCTCAGGCGACAGTGAGTACACGAGCAGTAATATACCGATAAGAAACAATTACCAGCCAAGTTAAATGCCCCAGAAAACCCAGATGTTACAACATTTTACTTAAATTCAGTGACTTTCACCTTCCTTACGTTTAAATCACAGAGAACACAGTGTAGGGGACCCCGTAAAAATCCCAAAAGTATGGACTGTCTGCAACAATACAGACCCAAGACGAGCCGTAACAATAGATCACCGCCGGGGAAAAGTCCCTCCCCAGCAACCAGTAACAATCTATGACTAAGGATACAAAGTGACCAACGAAAGACGCTTCTCTAATGATAATACAGAATAACTGTGACAGAATCAATGTTTTATTATTCTCCCATACTATAACACTATTGTATTTGGAGTATTAAACCTTCAATAAAATAAAATGTAAAAAATATATATATATATATATATATCCTTGGTATCATATTTTAAACTTGTGCGTAGAACATAAACTTAGATTATCTGAATAATTTGTTCCAAAATTGTCTTCTGAAAAATAAATTAGGGAACTAAAGCATAACATCCATATTTTGTTAAAGAAATAATCAGAAAATGACTCATTGAAGAAACCCAAACACCAGCTATTATTTACCTCTATGAGTCCTAGACATGTGCCACTGACTTTCAACAAGGAGAGAGC